CTGGGCTCCCCAGGACAAGAGGGATGTGGAGCTTCTAGAGAGGGTCCAGCACAGAGCAACAAAGATGGTTAAGGGACTGGAGTATCTATTGTATGAGGAAAGACTAAGTAAGTGAGCTGGGCCTGTTCAGCCTAGAGAAGAGAAGACTGAGAGGAGATCTGATCAACATGTACAAATATATGAGGGGAGAAAGTAAAGAGGATGAGGCCAAACTCTTCTCGGGGATGGCCAGTGACAAGACAAGGGGTAACGGGTGTAAGCTGAAACACAGCTCCACCTCCAAATGAGGAAGAACTTATTTCCTGTGAGGGTGACAGAGCCCTGGAACGGGCTGCTCAGAGAGGCTGTGGAGTCTCCTTCTCTGGAGATCTTCCAAACCCGCCTGGATGCCACCCTGTCCCACGTGCTCTGGGTGTCCCTGCTGCACCAGGGGGGTTGGACTAGATGATTCCTTCCAACCATTCTGTGATTCTGTGAAACAGGCAGCAGACCAGAATCCACTGCATTTCATATAGCCCATTGAATGGAGTAGGAAACAATTTCTAACAATACCTATTATAAAACAATACGAAGATAACAGAATTTCTTTAATAAATAAATTGCCCACTGTACCCTACAGTAACTAGATACGAAAAAAAATTACCTTTACCTAGAACCTAGCATTAAGGTAGATCCTTAATAGATAATGAAAAATGCAATCAGTGGAGGTCCCAGTAGGTAAGAGCAAAAGAGAAAAGCACTAATATTCAGCTTCAGAAACAACCCCCACCTTTTTTCCTAATTTTGTTAGGATGTCAGTCTCAACAACTGTGATTAAGATTTTCTTCACATTAAATTCCAATTTTGATCTGTAACTGACCTGTGGTAGACAAAGAGATTTTGGCAGCTGCAACACGAGTGTCTGCCAAGTAGTCAATAATATCTCCTTGGAGCTAGAAAGTAATGAGGGCAGAGACTATTGCTAGAGACTCCACAGAACTGCCACAACTTCATGCTATGTTTTTCCAATTTTAGAATTAATTTTAGTACAACTTGCAGGGGAATCTTTTTGTCTTTGGCTGAAGATGTCACTAAAAACAAAGACAACTATCCACACCTTGAAAATTTAAATAAAATACACCTTTACAACAGTAAAGATCCGTACTAGCACGCTGGAATGCATTTTCATGCTCTCTATATGCATCCACTTCAGCTATGCACATGTAGCATGTAATGTCAGTAAGTTTTCTGCAGTCTGAAAAAGGACTTGCTTGTCCCTGTGTTTTTATGTTAAGTAAGAAAATAAAAAAAAAAACTTCATCTAAAGTAAATGAATTCAAATGGAACATCAGGGAACAGGGCACAAAAGAAATGAATGGGAAATTGACATAATATTTTAGACAACAAAATGATAAAGAAGCATAAATACCATTTGGGCTCATCCTTTATTTTCTTTTTTCGCTGCAGCCAGGCCTTTACTTCAGGTGTTGATTCAGGAGTTGGTTTTGTATGATCAATGGTATATAAATCCTTTCCTTGCTTCCACAGTTGGTATCTGTCTGGTTGAAACTTCCTCACAAAGATGTCCATGGATATTGTCACCATGTCTCTCCTGCAGGTGCACTGCAAGAGAACGTAGACATTTATAAGCGACAAGTTATAGAATAGGCTACAGTCTGGAATTAAAAGTAATAACAACAATCCTACATGTGAAAAACTGCTCTGTCTTTAATCCAAATTATCCTCATTTCCCCTCCTCTTTGCTGCTTCTAGCAGTAAGGACAGTTCAAGAGAAGATATTGTCTGAACAAAGATGACATTCCAGAATTTCACATTATCTTAACTTTCATTTTTAAGAACAAAATTTGTAACATAAATTGACATTGAATTATCTCCTCATTTACATGCAAAATCTTCTCAAGTTCAAGCCGTATTGCTATACACTGATGACAAATGGTTACATAAGTAACAATTTTTACGATAACTGTCTTTGCAGTTAGACATCCCAACTTAAAGGTTTGTGCAAAAGAACCATTCTTTAAGCCAAAATGGATATATCAAAGAAAAAAGCTCCATAAAGAAAAATATAGTCTATGATGGAATAATAATAATAAAAAAAACATAATAAACTACACCTATATAAGGCACAGAATTTCTTTCTTCCCATAATTTGAAGTTACTTAATAAGAGTGATCAGGTACTAGTAATAGTATTGAAATTTTTGAAAGTTTTAGAACTACTACAAACACATACAGTTCTGAGTGAAACACATACAGTTCTGAGTGAAAGGTAAAGGAGAAATAACACACTCAACACCTTGGCTTGCTCAAAAATACAGAAGACTTAAGTTTCTAGTCACCAAAGGCTGGGAATATTCCAAGGTAAAGGTTGGAAACATATGAAAGTATCTTATTACACAATGAAAGCAGACATATTCTGAAAAACATTTTACTCATTTTCCCTAAAACATGCTAAGAAAAAATATGCTGTTTTGATAAATGATGGGGAGGAGTATTCTTCACGGTGGTGATGTTTTTCCATGTTTTTTTTTTCTTCATTTCCCATTTGACTGACTTACAGCCGACAGTTACATGGCTTCCTGCTTCTAAGAGAAAAGTTACTGAAAGCCTCCCTCTTTGAGGCAAAACTGTAATTCTGTTGAAGATGCCTCTGGGGAGATATGCAAAAGTGTACGTGGCTTTCTACTAAAATACTCAGACAATGTTTTTACAGATCACAATAATTTTAGAGTCCTCACATTTTTAACAGCAAATGTAAAAACAAAGTTGTCAGATAGTACAATCAAATACTCAGTAAAATCAGAAAACTTAGAAGCCACTTTTTAATAAAATGACAGAATGATAGCCCAGGCCAACAAACATACAAACCTAATCTGCCCCATATCTACCCTTGTTCACACCATGAGAGTAATCCCCATCAGCCAACAGCATTCTCACAGGCAGATTCACTGGAAAATTACAAAATGAATAAGCCTAGAACATCCTGGTGAAAACTGAAATAGATTGAAAAGGGTGAGTGAGTGGCAGATATATCTGCCCACATAACACAAGCCTGCAGATAAACTACTATTTATTGGTAATATATAATCTTACCTATAAAAAAATCTGTTAAAAAAATCTAATGTTGGGACAGACAAACACTGTAACCTATGCAGTGGATGGATTCTTCTTCTGTATATAGTGGATTTAGGCTGAAATATGGTCTTCAATTAAAGATCAGTTTGACAATCAAAATGCTTATAGGAATAAAACTACATCAGAATTCTCTAATGCTATCATCATCATCATCACCATCATCATCATCATTATTATTATTATTTATTATTATTATTTCCTAGTATAAGGATACAGCTTGTGGGGAAGTAATTCAAATAAAATTTATTAGTAGCTGCAAGGCCTGTATGTAATGAGTTGGAAAAAAAAGAAACTTTCAGTTACTTTAATTAATTGGTGCAACTAAATGTGAGATATATTTGTAACAATAGAAAATTGCCTAGAAAATAATTCTTGTCCAAAAGAATTTTTTCAGACGTACTTTATTGGTGAAGAAACAACATTCATTTTGTATTAAATGTGAACTACTTCGCATTTTGTGCTTTGGTTCTCAAAAATAGAAAGGAAAACACAAATTTTACAAAACTATGCATTTCAGATACATACTTATACATCTCTTAAAATAATGAGAGTTTTTTCCTCATTATTTCACTTCACTGCGGTAAAGGTACAGTTAATCTTTTGACCTGAAATATTTTGACATGCTGATATCAATGTTACTATTTAAGAGCTGTTCTTGAATAACGTTTTATAAATTAAGAATCAAGTACAAGTCTTATGGGCCTGAATAATACTCTATCATCAATATTAAACTCTTTCACCAGAAAGAATCACTAGAAGAATCATTTTTAAATGAATATAAAAAGAAAAATCTGTTATGAGTTTCATATCTTATAATGGAAAGCATATAGGCAGTTCATATTATTACTTGACTCTTAGGTAGGCAGGATAATTTCTTAGAGGGATTATCTTTGTTAGGCCACTTTTCTTTGCAGTGTCCCTCCTTTATGTAAGTGTTCAAAAAAAAAATGACAGTTGAATCATGAGGCACACTGCAGGTAAAAATCTCTCTTTAACCACCTATGGGACAGCACATGAAAGAACAACAGTCAAGAAATCTTGCGAAATTCTCTTTTGTGCAAATAGAGAATGAATATCTAGAGAAAATAATAAAACTAGCAGAAGGAGGAAAGCATAGGACTGGTAGCAGTCTTTATATGTTACATAATACAAAAGGAGAGGAGATTCAAAAAGGATTCTCTAAAAATGATCTAGTCACTGTTAACTGATATACCTTCCTACCTGTCTGTAATGATTAAAGCTTTCTCTATGGTAGAGAGGCAATGATGCATTTACTGGAGAGACACATACACAATAATTTATATACTCTTCCAACTCAACAGCAAATGCAGTTCTTAAAGGTTATTTCATTTACTGTTATTCAGTTTTCCTGCAATACTCAAAAAATGTTTTAAAAATGTAAAGGTACATTTTGAGAAACTTCTTTTTAAAGGTGCTACAACTGGACCTATTTCTTGCAGATTACCTGTAGAACTAACGGTTGATAGGTACTGTTTATAGAAGAATAGAGTTTAATAAATCATAGCAACTGCAGCTGTTCTTTGCCAAGGAATAAGGCAGTGATATATTTGCACACTGACCTTCTGGCAACTTGTGGGCACTGTTGCAGAAACCTTTGATATCAGTTATCCATCTGTGCAAGCTTCAATAAAGCAAGTGCTCTTTCGATAAAAGTCAGAGTACCCTCAGTTCCCTGACACAAGCAGTCTTACAAAAAAAAAAAAAAAAAAAAAAGGGGAAAAAGCACTCTTTTAAGGTTTTTTTTATATATATTCCATGATATTTAAGTGCATACTGGGGCAAAATATTTCCAATAAATTAGTTATTTGTATTCATATATGCATAAGCAAATATTCTGCAATATTTAAAATGTAGTCTAATATTTAAACAGTGTATTTACAAAAATATATTTTTTCTTGAATCCTATTTCCGATTTATTTCCACTTACACAAAATGGCACCTACACATCCTACTGTAAAAAGATTGCATTTATATTCAAAAAAAAAATGTAGACTTGATTTCTTCAAGGCCAGGTATCACTTCAAAAATGGCATTTTTTCCACCATTGAAATGCTGATAATAGAAACACTGTGTGATAGGGAACAGCTGAAAGAAATCCGTTTTTTTCTTGAATGCCCTGCCTCTCAACCCTGCTTTCCCTTATCCTGTAAGTACCCCCTTATTTATGTTATTTCCTAGTTGGTATGACCCAAAGATCATTGAATTAAGACTTAAGTGGTGAACATGAAAATACTGATAAAATTCAAAATGCAATCTGACATCAATCTATACATGAATATCATCAAGGAACTTGCTGGAAACAAGATAAAAAATCATCTAAGGACAGCAAGAGGAGAGAACAGGCTTTATGCACACACGGGGTAATTTTACAGCTCTTGAACTCTAAGTTTAGGTTGTCATCACAGAATAACAGATATCCAGGGCAGGATTCCCACTTTTCAAAAGTTGACACCTATTTGCCAGTAATTTTAAGCAAAAAAGTAGGATTGTTGCCATAGGTATTGCCATGTTTATTACAGTGAGAAGTGAATACCCCTGACAACTCAAATGCAGGAAAATTCATTCTTTAACCAAAATTCTGTCCAAAATTCCTCTCTTCTTTTTGCTCAGGGTCAATTCTTCTTCCATCCCTGATACCTACTCACAGAGGCCCTTTGCCTAAAGTCTCTTATCTCTCCACATAGAGTCTAATGAACTCACTTCTGCCCTTCATCTCCTTCGCTACTCATCCCACGTATGCAATCTATACACTTGAACTGCATTTCCTGAGATCCAGAAGATGAAGAATTTTGTCTTTAACTTAAATTATCTTGTAATGCCTGTCTTTTAAAAAATCAGAAGGATTTTGCCTCTGTGAAGTTAGAATTTAGTGTTAAGAAATTAATATCCATCGTAGAACAGAAGCTGAATAGAATTAACCAATTTTAAAATGTCTTCTGAAGTTAAAAAAAACTCTTGTTTACCAGTGTGTACATATATACACATATTTATATAGACCATGTACCAGTATATTAATACACACATATATGTGTATGTATTTATATTCACAGTAATACAAGTGCACAGTAGTATAAGCATAGCTACATTCATTTTTTTCATTACATTTTGTGCTTTACAAGGCTCGAAGTCTGGCTGCTATGTTTAAAAATTATACCTGCATTTACAACCAACACAGCTCACAAATGGATTGTGTTGAAAACTAGATATAGTTAGACCCATGTACAGTTTCAACACCACTGATCATTCTAGAACGTTGCTTATGAAGCACAGTTTAGAAAACAGGATACAGAGAGTTGACGAAATAATAAATTACTTTTTTAAAGTGTACAAAATAAGTTTTTTTTCCAAACATTTTCAAGATGTTCTAAAATGTCATGATCAAGACACAGAGTTCTCAGGCTTCATCTTTTGATATCTGGAGCACTGTACTATGGGACTTTAGAAAGA